AGAGAGAGAGAGAGATGAAGATGAAGAACATAAAGGGCGCAACTGAGGTCTGTTCCATGATATCCTATCTCAGTATAGGTGGGACAAGTGCGTGTTTGAGGAAAAGAAGGAATTTGGGACAATCGAAAGAGAAGAATATGGAAAAAAAGATGTGTTTTTTCCAAGAAAACCTAATAATTTGGTGGAGATAATCTCAGTAGTGCTCTGAAAAGTGAAAATAAGGGAGAGAGATAAATCCCAGTAGTGCTCCAAGATCTCTACAGTGAAGGCATCTTGCACACCTGCGCAAAGGAAAACCTAAAGCGGAGAGAACCCTAGCTGTTCATTCACAGAAAGCATGAACCCCAAAGAGAGAGAGAGAGAGAGAGGATGCTACATGATGATATAGAAAGAGATGCGTGTGGTTAGTGGCGTTACCAGGGAGGTCCCATGGTTCGCACTTGTTCAGGTCGACGTCGATCATCATGGGACAGCCGTAGATGCCGCTGTTGCCACAGACCTTCTTCGTGAGGTAGTCGCAAACAAGCTCATCGTCCCGTGGGTGGAACCTGAACCCCGGCGGCATCCTCGCCTCCACCATGCTCAAGAAGCTCATGGTAATGGATGAGAGAGAGAGAGAGAGAGAAAGAAAGAGGGTTTACAGTAACAAGTACGGGAGGAAAGAAGAGCTTAAATAGAAGAGAGAGAGAGAGAGAGATATATATATATATATATATATATATATATATATAATGGAATACTTCAACGTACTTTCTTCCTTAAAAAAAATTAGCTGATGGAAAACGAAGCACTAATCATAAAGGATGACTGTTGACGATAACACTCTGAAAATAAATATTTACTTTAAAAAGAGATGATCGACTTTGATCCTTGCACTGGAAATGTATAACAAATGATTATTATCTCGGAACGAGGACAACATACATCATGGAATTAACCAATTAGATCGATTTTTTCGAGCTATCGAATAAAATGATTAATTATTATTAATTTTATTATAATAATAATTAGATTATTTATATAAACTAATAAATTAGACTGAGAATTATGAAATTCAATTGAGACTAGATGTGTTTGGAATTTATGATACCAAAACAGGAGAGGTTTGCTTGAGCCTATGCACCTTATAAACATGTTGAGTAAAATTGTAATTAATAAAGCATGTATATTACTTCATAAGTATATTATTGGAAAAATGATCAT